TGACACATGATATGAGATGTATAGATGACAATACTACAGACTAAAAGTACCAAACGTATCTTTTCCCAACCTGAGGAGACAGATCTGCCTCCTCCATATGTACAGGGATATACCAGGGGTGAAGGTAGACAAGGGACAAGCCCTGATGCCTCTCCCCAAAGACATTGGGAATTTAACTCAGACCTACTTCCCAAAGCAGATGCGAGTACCCTGTCAATGCCAAATCTTACCAAATATGTTCATACTAACACCCCTATTCATGACACTTTTAGTACAAGCAGTAGGATGGGAGCTGGGGGCACAGCAACAACCAATGGATGCACTGATCAGGTGTTCACTTCCACCCCGAAGAATCCCAGTGCTAGTAATTGGACTCTTGCCCCATCCTTCAATTTACCCATGCAAAAGCCCCTAAGGGAACATTTGATAGGGGGCCATCGGACTCTAGTCTACACTCCCTTCACCACAACTGACTTACTGAACTGGAAGACCCATAACCCCATTTATAGTGAGAAACATCAGGCTGTGACAGATCTCCGTTCAATAATCCAGACGCATAACCCCATCTGGTCTGACTGCCAGCAACTTCTACTGACTCTTTTTAACACAGAGGAAAGACACAGGATAGCCCAAGCAGCTTTTAAATACAAGTGAACTGTTGCAACTACTATAAAAAGCAAGCTATAAAGGTATCCAGTAAAAAGGCTCAGTTGTGCCAAGAGACTGTAAAATACCTGGGATTTAGAGTATCACAAGGCCATAGACAGTTAGGAGAGAGCAGAAAAGAGGCTGTTTGCCAAATCCCTACACCAACAACCAGGCATCAAGTGTGTGAATTCCTGGGGGTAGCCAGATTCTGCCGGATCTGGATACCAGACTTTGCCACAAAAGCCAAGTTTTTTTATGAATCTACAAAGGGGGAGAGAGGGAACCTTTCCTAAGAGAAAGACAACAAGACCAAGTATTCCGAGACATTAAGATTTCCTTAATGCAAGCTCCCACCCTTAGCCTACCAGACTGTAAGAAACCTTATTATCTGTATGTCAGTGAGAAGCAGGGGATAGCAGTGGGAGTGTTGACACAATATCTGGGGTTGTGGCAACACCCAGTGGCGTACCTTTCCAAACAACTGGACACTGTAGCTCAAGGTTGGCCACCTTGCCTGCAGGCTATCGCAACAACAGCCCTCTTGATGGCTGAAGCTGACAAGTTGTCACTGGGTCAAGAGATCTATGTCTGAGTTCCACACCACATTCAGGCATTGATGGATTATAAGGGATAGCACTGGTTCACTAACAGCCGGATGGTCAAATACTAGGCCATGCTGTGTGCAAATCCTGAAATCTATTTAGAGACTGTTAACACCCTGAACCCCGCCACCCTGCTCCCCACCACAAAAGAACCCCTAATACATGATTTCCTCCAGGTAATGGATTTCAGCCAGGCTTGAGAGACAGTCCCTTGGTAAAGCCAGATGTTGAATATTACATTGATGGCAGCAGCTTTGTAAAAGATGGGATCCGCTATGCAGTGGTTATACAGGAGACAGTGATAAAGGCAGCAGCCTTACTACAGGGATCCTCTACACAAAAAGCGAAACTGATTGTCCTGACCCAAACATTACAACTAGCTGCAGGCCTAAGACTGAATGTTTATGTGGACTCTAAGTATGGTTTCCTGACTCTTCATGCTCATGGAGCCCTGTATAAGGAAAGAGGACTTATCCCATCCGGGGGGAAGAGTATCAAGTATGGGACAGAAGACAGAAATACTGGAACTTTTGGAAGCAGTATGGGCCCCCCTCTGAAGTTACAGTAATACGCTGTAGGGGTCATCAAAAGGGAGACTCCCAGGTGGATAAAGGCAACAGAAAAGCAGATAAAGCAGCCAGGGAGGCAGCACTCCAGTGCTCCCCACAACAGATTATGGCCCCTGTATTCCTGATACCACTCTCTGAATGGGACCCAATCTATACAAGGGCAGAACAAAAATGGATAGAGACTGAACTTGGAAAGTACAGGGAAGACCAATATCAACTGCAGGATGGAAGAATTGTCATTCCAGTTGCTGTAGCAACTGAATTAGTGACAGAATTCCACAAGGGAACACACACATACAAAACAGCCATTGAAAAGGCCTTAGAGTGACATTTTTACATTTCCTGACTACCCATGCTAGCACAAGCAGCAACCAGTAGATGCGTGGAATGCGCCAGAAACAACCCAAGACAAGGGCCTGTACCAACTCTTGGAGTACAAGCAGTAGGGGCCTCACCAATGGAAGAATTAATGGTCACCTTGATACATCACTCCAGGGCAAAGCGAGCTGCTAATCACACAGATTCCTGGTTGAGTAAAGAAGACTCTCAAGACCCCTTAAAGCTAAAGCTGACCAGAGAAATCAGAAGGAGGAACTCCAGCCTGCTGTTAGCCATAGTAATAACTCTGGCTAGACCAATAGGGGGGGAGGGCAGATCACGTGACCCGTGTATCAAGACTTCCCGTATTATCACTTCCCGTTTTCCTGGATGTGAAAAGAGCTATTTTTAAAATAGTAGACCATCTGATTACACCGATCTTGTGATCAGATACTTTTAAGGGCAGAGGGGAGATTTGGGTGAGCAATTTTAAAGCATGACATGTTTGATATCTATTCACTCCGCATAACATCATCTTTTAAATTGTACCAAACAGTTGGGTATTATATTGTGTTTTTGTGCATTAAAATTCAAAAAAGGGGAATTTATTCCAAAAAAAGTGTTATAAAAACTGCTGTGCAAATACCGTGTAACATAATATGTAGCACCGTTGTAGTTTAGCTAGGGGGAACTAGACCCAAATGGCTAGTGAAGAGCTGATTAGCAGCTCAGATGAAATAGTCAATGGGGTCAAATTTTAGTCACGGCTGAGAGACTCTACAGGCCAGCCCCTCTGGAATTTCCCCCTGCTCTGAGGCTTTCGGAGGAGGGCCTGAGGAGTGGTTGGCTGCACTTTTGAGGGACCTTAGCCAATTCTCAACAGAAGGCTTGATAGGGGGCTGGACTCCCTTAAAAGATGTAGGGGCCTGCTCAGTAGCAAGAGTGTGGTGGTGGGAGAGGAGTTAGCAGCAGGAAGATGTGAAGTTGGCGGAGAAAGGCTTCCAGGAGGCCTAGTGGGATGGGGCCTATCTGGAGCTTGAAAGGCGTTAAACTCAGGACTCAAGGAAGGAGCAGCCCAGCTGATAGGCCTGGTAGCAGCATCGATTCCACAAGCCGTGCAGGAGAATGAATACACCTGTACCCCCTGGGTGGATAGGGGAAGGATCACTCTGGTGGGAAACCAGATTAGCTCACTACTAGTGATCATTACTCATTTAAAAAGGAACAGGAGCCAGATCCCCTGCTCAGGAAGGAAGTCTCCAGATTGCTGGGTGGAGAGGAGTTCATCTAGGGTCTGGGGTAGTACAACTGGAGCTTCAGGCTAGCACTCCAACAGAGACTGTATCAGAGAACTAAAGCTGTGAATAGTCCAGGCAGTTGTCCTGAGATTTTGGTTTCCTTGGGCATCTTATACACCTCTTTACCCCATCCAAGTTTAATCCCCTCAATAAAATAACAAAGCCAACACTCAAGGACTTATTTCTATCTCCAGATGAAAGCTTGTGTGGAAAATAGTAACTAACTGGCTGTGCTGGACTCTAGGGTGACCCAAATTTTTCAGCAATCCCTAAGGGGGTAGTGCTACAAATACATTGCAAAACCCAACATTTTATTCTCTAGGGCCTCTGATGTAAAACATGTATAATGTTTGTGAGTTCTAAGTAATTTTCTAGCTAAAAAAAAAGATTTTTTCTATAGCTAGTGTGTTCTGCTTATGTTCAATGTATAAATACTTGTGTGTACTGCATGCTCAGTGATAGTGAGAACCAGCACAGGGAATTAGCTAATCTGCGCAGAACAAACACTGCATGAATCAGATATTTTAGCAACACACAAGGTCAGATGTAACAAGCCTCCTTTATATTAATGAAAGAATTCCAGTAAGCCTAGAGCCATACTTTGTATAAGCAAGCTGATATAACAGTTTCTAGTTTTTATAGACTATCACAATAATCATGGCACTATAGCTTGGCGGGTTTGAGTTTTTTCTGCAGTTGAGATTTAAAGCAGAACTCCAGCCAAACAGCTCGATATACAGTTCAACTACACATATGTGATTTCAAATGTTCTAAATGATCTGTAATTGTCTGCATTCCCTTTAACCACTTTGGGATTTTTATTTTTTTGCTATATAAATGAAAAAGTCCAAACATTTTTTTAAAAAAGTGTATTTTTGCAAATAAATAATCTTTCTTCATAAATCGTGGCCAAAATGTATTCATCTATCTTTTTATAAAAAAAACAAATACCATATTTTTCGCTCCATAAGACGCACCTGACCATAAGACACACCTAGGTTTTAGGGGAGAAAAATAAGAAAAAAAATATTCTGAACCAATGGATTGCAGACATAGTACAGGAGATGACCAGAGACTGTGGACACAGTACAGGAGATGACCAGAGACTGCGGACACAGTACAGGAGATGACCAGAGACTGCGGACATAGTACAGGAGATGACCAGAGACTGCGGACATATTACAGGAGATGACCAGAGACTGCGGACACAGTACAGGAGATGACCAGAGACTGCGGACATAGTACAGGAGATGACCAGAGACTGCGGACACAGTACTGGAGATGACCAGAGACTGCAGACAGTACAGGAGATGACCAAGAGACTGCAGACAGTACAGGAGATGACCAGAGACTGCGGACATATTACAGGGGATGACCAGAGACTGCGGACATAGTACAGGAGATGACCAAAGACTGCGGACGAAGTACAGGAGATGACCAGAGGCTGCGGACACAGTACAGGAGATGACCAGAGACTGCGGACATAGTACTGGAGATGACCAGAGACTGCGGACACAGTAAGGAGATGACCAGAGACTGCGGACATAGTACTGGAGATGACCAGAGACTGTGGACACAGTAAGGAGATGACCAGAGACTGCGGACACAGTACAGGAGATGACCAGAGACTGCGGACGTAGTACAGGAGATGACCAGAGACTGCGGACATAGTACAGGAGATGACCAGAGACTGCGGTCACAGTACAGGAGATGACCAGAGACTGCAGACAGTACAGGGGATGATCAGAGACTGCTGACATAGTACAGGGGATGACCAGAGTCTGTGGACATAGTACAGAGGATGACCAGAGACTGCGGACACAGTACAGATGACCAGAGACTGCAGACAGTACAAGAGATGACCAGAGACTGCAGACAGTACAGGAGAAGACCAGAGACTGCAGACAGTACAGGAGATGACCAGAGACTGCAGACAGTACAGGAGATGACCAGAGACTGCAGACAGTACAGGGGATGACCAGAGACTGCCGACAGTACAGTAGATGACCAGAGACTGTGGATCTTTGGGGAGGGAGGGGGATCGGGTACCTGAATTTGACAGGTACCCTCTCCCACTTCCATGGAGCTGTCCTCCCTTTAGTGTGGGAATCCGGCTGTGACAGCTGGGTGCCCACTGCGCATGCGTGAGAAGCGCTGCGCTTTGTGAATGGCCTGGCGTCTTCTGGGACACATGACAAGTCCCAGAAGATGCTGGGCCATTCACAACGCGCAGCGCTTCTCGAGCATGCACACTGGGCACCTGGCTGTCACAGTCGGATTCCCACACTAAAGATGCCGGCGCGGGAAGACTGTACAGTGCTGGACCGAGGATCAGGTATGGTCCTGCTGCAGAGAAGAGCTGAGTGGCTGGCCCGGTATTCTGACATGGTGTCGGCGGCAGAAATACCGCACGGGCCTCTCCATATTCCAACCATAAGACGCACTGACGCTTCCCCCCATTTTTTTTGGGGAAAAAAGTGCGTCTTATGGAGCGAAAAATACGGTATAATAATAACACAAATTAGTTTGTAACCAAAAATTATAATTTAAAAAAAATTTTTTTACATTTTTATATTTTTTTTATATTATTATTTATGGGGTTTTTTTTTTTAACATACTGTCACCCTAGCAGTACAGTGTCACCATGGTGACACTAAAATAACTGTAAGTCAGCACACATCAATTAAAATACAGTACCCATTAAAGTCGTATCACAATCCTTCCCCTGAAGTACCAATATAATATACAGTATCAACCGACTTAAAATACACCCAAAGTCCAAATAAATGTCCCAAATCGTGAAAAATTGTCCAAATTACATCCAGATCTTGATGAATAGGTACCCACTCATACACAATGAAGATGAATCCCAGATGCTTTTCATATACCTCAAAAAAAGAAAAATCTAGACATAGTGTTTTATCTTAGGTCTCAAAGACAGTGCCACACGTGCAGCATGCAAACACTAAAGTGCCACAGCAATCGTGTAAAAATATACTCAATATACACCACTGCAAACCATATAGTAAAAGTGCATAATTACCCTAAATTCAATATAATCAACATGTAATCCAAAATTTTAGGCATGGAACATACTCAGATTGATATCCTCTTCTCCAGACACTTCCCTTAGACCTCACAAACAGACCAGGGATCAGCGTATGAATCAAATAACATACAAATTTTATTGTAGCCACTTGCATTATAAACCGATAAAAACAGCTTCCTGGTCCTGACGATGTTTATACAGCCATATTGTGGTATCAAATAGCTTCCTGATTATAAAGAAGTATATACCGCCACAATACTTCCAAACACCGACACTTTAGCTCTAGAAGGGTGCCAGGAGTATACTAAGAGTCCCAGGAATACAGACCACCATGCGCTCCAGAATCCAAAATGGCCACCACGGCACTTCTGGGAATGTCAAGACGTTACTACGTCACGTGCCCCGGGCGCGTTTCGTCACTTCCGGACTTTGTCAACAAGGATCCTTTACAAAAGTCCACCCGCTTTGGCAGCGCTCCCGTCTGATCGTTTATTGACATGGGCCGGATGGGAAGAGGTTAATGAATTGTACACCTCTGCCAGACATCACAGCCTGGAGTGTAACACCTCAGTTATGAAGAGCGGCTGCGAACATTATAAGTATTCTCCCTAGAGAAGAGACGTTTAAGGCTAGGTTCACACTAGCCCGCAAGCTGCTTTGCACTGCTCTTGTGAGATGCGCAGGGTTGCCCTTCTTTCTTTCTGAATGGAACCCCTACACACATCTTAGCCCGCAGCACGGTTGTGGGTGCACCACAGGGAAACCACATTTTCAAAAAAACTATGCAGTTTCCCTGAGGATGAGTTTTTGAAAAGGTGCTTTTTTCTTTCATGAAACTTGGGCAGAGCAGTCCATTCAAATGCCAGTGTGAACTAGGCCATAGGTATACTTTAAAGTGGATTTCCACTGAAAAGTGGAAGCTCCACTTGTTTGCCTCCTCCCCCCTCCATTGCCATATTTGGCACCTTTTGGGGGGGGGCAGGTACCTGGTTTTGACAGGTACCAGCTCAGTTTGTCGTGGCAAAGTGAGCCGGAAGTCAGACCCCCTCCTTCCTCCCACAGTCTCCTGGGAACCTTCACAGGTCCAAGAAGACTGCCGGACCAATTAGGATGCACAGTGGGCACCTGGCTGTGAAGCCCCAAGCTGTCATAGCCTGTTGCCCACAGTTGAGATGCTGGCACATGGAGAGAAGAAGGAGAGAAGGGACGGTGCGGGTGACAACATCACTGGACCCCGGTACAGATAGGTATGTGTTTATTAAAAGTCAGCAACTACAGTTTTTGTAGCTGCTGACTTTTACCACTTGCCCTCCTGAGGATTGCATTACGGCGCTGCGTTACTTTAACTGACAATTGCACAGTCATCATGTCCTTTTTTTCCCACTAATTGAGCTTTCTTTCGGTGGTATTTGATCGCCTGTGTGTTTTTTGCGCTATAAAAAACAAAATACTGACAATTTTGAGAAAAAAACAATATTTTTTTTTACTTTTTGCTATTAAACATGTCCAGTAAAAAAATAGAAAAAAAAATCAGATTTCATCATAAATTTACACCAAAATGTATTATGCGACATGTCTTTGCTAAAAAAAAATCCCAATACGTGTAAATTAATTGGTTTAAGCGAAAGTTATCGTGTTTACAAATGGCAGTATATATACTGGGATTTTTTTATTTATTTTTAATTTTTACTAGTAATGGTGGAAATCAGCAAGTTATAGCAGGACATTCTGACACTGGGGGGAAATGACTTGGTGTCACTGATATCCCAGGTGACACCAATACAGTGATTAGTGCTAAAAAAAACCCCACTGACACTGTACTAATGGCACTGGGCAGGAAGGGGTTAACATGAGGGATGATCAAAGGGTTAACTGTGTGCTGGGAGTGTTTTACTAGGGGGTGGTGTCTGTGTGCTTCACTGTAATCGCACTGCTCTGGATGGCTGTGCTGTGGCCTGTACAGAGTCCTGACCTCAACCCGATAGAACACCTTTGGGATGAATTAGAGCAGAGACTGCGACCCAGGCCTTCTCGTCCAACACCAGTGCCTGACATTACAAATGCACTTCTGGAAGAATGGTCAAACATTCCCATAGACACCCCCCTAAACCTTGTGGACAGCTTTCCCAGAAGAGTTGAAGCTGTTATAGCTGCAATATTGAACCCTACGGACTAAGACTGGGATGCCATTAAAGTTCATGTGTGTGCAGGGGTGGAATGACAACTCATGGGGCGCCCGGGCAATAGGGGGTCATGGGGCCCCTGTGTCCTTGCCCAAACTCAAAAAAGCCTATGAAAAAGGTACCAGGGGCATCTCTTGGGGCCCCCTACTGGCCCCAGGCCCTCGGGCAGTGCCTGAGTTTCCAAATGGTCAGTCCGCCCCTGTGTGTGTGTAAAGGCAGGCGTCCCAATACTTTTGGCAATTAATGTACATCACGAATTTGCACTAGAATACTGGGGTTACGACTATAGCTAGATGTGATAACCCCGTATTAAAATTTTCAGCAGCCGACACTCTTTCTGCTAAAAGTGATCAGAGCGCATTGGTTCCCAAGCTTCCTGATGAGCCAAGTAAGCTTGAGAAACACCGGAAAGCACCCCCCCCCGCCACTTTGCGGTGGTTCTCGGGCTTACCTGGCTCATCCGACAGTTGCCACAGCTGGCCATAAAGATGAGCAGAAAGATGGCCTCTGCTCATTTCTGTAGCCTAGGAGGCGGGAGTGACATTCATGACATCACTTCCGGTTCACAGTCAATGTAAACAAGGCCATTTTTTTGTAAAGCATTAAATCAATGGTTTTTTTTTATCTGATGCTTTTCATTGTAGATAAGAGATGTGGGGTTTTGTTGACCCCAGAGCTCTCCATAAAGAGGACCTGTCATGCTTTATTATTGTCCCAAAATATGTTTACATTTCTTGTGAAAGCAATAAAAGTGATTAAAAAAAATTAAAAGGACAGTGTAAAAATAATGAAATAAATAATAATAATAAAAACATTTATTTAAGTGCCCCGTCCCCCTATGCTCGCTTGCAGTGGTGAAATCATATGTAGGTTATGCCCTCATATGTAAACTGTTCGCACCGTACATGTGAGGTATTGCTGCGAATGTTAAAGCGAGAGTAATATTTGTAGCACTAGACCTCCTCTGTAACTCTAATCTGGTAACCTATAAACATTTTTACAGCGTCACCTATGGAGATTGTGAATTACCGTAGTTTGTGCGCAATTTTAAAGCATGACATGTTAGGTATCTATATACTCAGCGTAACATCATCTTTCATATTTTACAACAAAATTGGGCTGTATATTGTGGTTTTATTTTGATTCATTAAAGTGTATTTAAAAAAAAAACTGTGTTTGAAAAACCGCTGCACAAATACTGTTGTGACATAAAAATTGCAACGACTGCTGTTTTATTCTCTAGGACCTCTGTAAAAATATATATTTATATAATATTTGGGGGTTCTAAGTAATTTTCTAGCAGCAAAAAAAAAAAAAGATTTTTACTTGTAAACAAAATGTCAGAATAGGCCTGGTCCTTAAAGCGGAGTTCCACCCATTTTTAAAAGTTGCTTTCATCTACATGCCCACCCGCAGTGTATTCCTTAATGGATATTAACCACAAGCCTTCAGGGCACTTATACCCTCTTCCTGCCCAGGCCAATTTCCAGCTTCAGCGCTGTTGCACTTTGAATGACAATTCCGCGGTCATGCAACATTGTACCCATATGAAATTTTTAGCATTTTTTTGTGACAGAGCTTTATTTTGGTGGTATTTAATCACCTCTGATTTTTTTAGTTTTTTCTTAAACAAACCAAAAACCACTGAACATTTTGAAAAAAAAAAGTTTTTTTCTTAGTTTTTGTTATAAAATTTTGTAAATAAGTGATTTTTCTCCTTCACCGATGTGCCCTAATGAGGCTGCAGTGATGGTCACTGATAGGCTGCACTGATGGACACTGATAGGTGGCACTGATGGGCACTGATGAGGAGGCACTGGTAGGTGGCACTGATGGGCATTGACAGGCATCACTGATGGGCACTGAAAAGCAGCACTGATATATGGCACTGATAGGCGGCACTGACTGGCATTTATAGGCGGCACTGACTGGCACTGATAGGCGGCACTGACTGGCACTGATAGGTGGCACTGACTGGCAGCACTGATTGGCATTGATAGGTGGCACTGACTGGCACTGATGGGTGACACTGAAAGGCAGCTTAGATGGGCACTGATATGTGGCATTGATGTGCACTGGTAGGCACTATGTGGCATTGATGTGGCACTGATGGGCACTGGCACGTGGCACTGATGATCACTGACACAAGGCACTGATGGACACTGACGGTTGGCACTGCTGGGGCTACACAGATCATCAGGGCACACTGGTCATCAGTGCTCTGATCATTGTACATGTCCCCTCTGCGGAATGACGATTAACGGCTCTCCTCTCCTCTGTCAGTGTGACAGCTCGAGAGGAGAGAAATGCCGATAACCGGCATTTCCCTGTTTACATGTCATCAGCTGTGATTGGACACAGCTGATCACATGACTGAGCCGACATCTTCGGCTCTTTCCGTGGATCAGTGATCCGCTGTGTCCGATCGCCGCCGATCGCTGCACTGCGCGCTCCGGGAGCCGCGCGTGTGCGGTCAGAATAGGAGGACGTCATATGACATCCTCCCAGAACGAAAGAACCACCTTGCGTCCGTCATATTACTATATGACAGATGGGAGGTGGTTAATATATATATTTTTTTATGTCTGAATACCTTATTTTTATCTGTGTATGCAGCACTTCCGGTCCGGCCGCCTAGGCGATGTCGTCATATGGTGCTTCCCATGGACTCCTGGGATATCAGCGTTATCTATCCCAGGAGTCCAAGCGAATTGACTTAAAATGAAAAATTGCGTTATTTCCCAGATCGCATCCGACTTCCAGATCTTCTGATTGACAGGTTGCCATAACAACAGGGAACTTCTGCCGATGCCACCATTAATCTTCAACCTTCAATCAACAAACTGCGCTGCGTAGTGTCATTACTGCCCAGGCGTGAGATCAAAAGGTGCATGCTGGGTAGCCAGCTGCACCGAATCCCGGAAGTGAACAGGAGTGGGGTTCAGATGCTCACATCTACCATGGCCCCTGCCTACTGACAAGATTGTGTGATCGATTACAGGTGTAAGAATAACAGATATGAATATAGTTTTAACAATAGCCAATTATTTCCGTACAAGTAATACCAATCATGATGGTGCTTTAAAAAAAAATTGCTGTGGAGCCTGGAGCTCTGCTTTAAGTGGATTAAGCTCTTGTCCATCTATAATGTGTCTTTTTGCCTGGTACATACCTGTCTACAGCCTTAACAACACCTACAGTTTATCCTATCTATAATTTTTCTTCTTCAGCACAATTTACATGCTTGGTTTAATTCCTGATTTTAAGCCCTGCATATCCAAGTAAATGCTTTGTTTTTCAACTGGATTCTACGCCCTGTTCCAAATTATCATGCAAATTCTATTTAAGTGTCACAAAGATTAAATATTTTGTTTTTCAGTTTAACTCATGGCTGGCATTGTGTGTCAGGGCTCTTTTGATCACTGAAAACAATCTTGGATACCTGTGATAATTAGATTGGCCGGTGAGCCCAATTTAAGGAAAAACTACTAAAGGAGGGCATTCCACATTATTAAGCAGAGCACCGTTTTCAAGCAATATGGGGAAGAAAAAGGATCTCTCTGCTGGTGAAAAGAGTGAAATAGTTCAATGCCTTGGACGAGGTATGAAAACATTAGATATTTCACGAAAACGTAAGAGTGATCATCGCACTATTAAGAGATTTGTGGCTGATTCAGAGCACAGACGGGTTGGTGCAGATAAAGGCACATTGAGGAAGATTTCTGCCAGATCCATGCATCGGATCAAGAGAGCAGCTGCTAAAATACCATTACATACCAGCAAACAGATATTTGAAGCTGCTGATGCCTCTGGAGTCCCACGGACATCAAGGTGTAGAGTCCTCCAGAGTCTTGCAACTGTGCATAAACCCTCTATTCGGCCACCACTAACCAATGCTCACAAGCAGAAACGGCTGCATTGGGCAGAAAAATACATGAAGACTAATTTTCAAACAGTCCTGTTCACTGATGAGTGCCGTGCAACCCTGGATGGTCCAGATGGATGGAGTAGTGGATGGTTGGTGGACGGCCACCCTGTTCCAACAAGGCTGCGACGTCAGCAAGGTGGTGGTGGAGTCATGTTTTGGGCCGGAATCATGGGAACCGAGCTGGTCGGCCCCTTTAGGGTCCCCGAAGGTGTAAAGATGACCTCTGCAAAGTATGTGGAGTTTATGACTGACCACTTTCTTCCCTGGTACAGAAGGAAGAACTATGCTTTCCGTAATAAAATCATCTTCATGCATGACAATGCACCATCTCATGCTGCAAAGAATACCTCTGCATCAATGGCTGCTATGGGGATAAAAGGAGAGAAAGTCATGGTGTGGCCTCCATCCTCCCCTGACCTCAATCCTACTGAGAACCTTTGGAGCATCCTCAAGCAAAAGATCTATGAGGGTGGGAGGCAGTTTACATCCAAACAGCAGCTCTGGGATGCTATTCTGACATCTTGCAAACAAACTCAAGCAGAAACTGTCCAAAAACTCACAAGTTCAATGGATGCAAGACTTGTGAAGCTGCTATCAAATAAGGGGTCCTATGTTAAAATGTAATGTGACCTGTTAAAATGTTTAAAAAGTTAAAATGTTGTTAAAAGTTTGATTGAAATAGCTTTTGATTTCAGTAAATATGCTGCAAACACAACAAATGACAATTTTCAGTTCTTTACAACCTATAAAGTGTTTTTGAAACTTACTGTAATTTGGAACAGGTCATTGTAAGTGTTTTATGTTTAAAAAAAATCCTGTTATCATTAGGAGGTTTGTTCAGTAAAATTTGAATTGTGCTCTTAATAGTTGATAACATGAGAATTATGCTGACTGTTATTTACATCAATTATTTAGGTAAATGAGAAAAATATCATTTGCATAACAATTTGGAACAGGGTGTAGATAAAAAAAAACAGCCTTCATAATGTCAGCTCTGCTGGGTCTCATGTATGTTCTTCCTAACATAAAAATTTGGGTGTACTCAAAAAAATATATTGTTTACAAGTCTTAGTTCAATATTTCTTTATTAAAATATAAGGAACAGCACAGTTACAAATCAGTAAAGCTATATACTAAGTGATAATGTTTGTTAGAGCAATTATTCATGGACCTAGTAAATAAGACAATACATGAGTGGGAGGTTGGTTTATTGTTCATATGTTTTATAATACAATTTTTAAATAAATCTCACCGGCCCCCTTCTTTTTATGTAAATCAAATATTATAATATACTATGTACTGTGAATGTGAGAGTTTATCATCCAGATACATTGAACTTTTTTTTTCCAGGATCTTCACATGAAGCTACATAAAAAAGTATCCTCTGAATTTTATTCAATTGCGGTAGATGCCAGGAACTGAACCAAGTGATATCAGGATGTAAAAATGTGCTATCTTCAAGAACCTAATTATCTTCTGATAAAAATCTTTTAAGGTGTTAAATTGGCTTTGAAGTGCAAAAATAAATTTCATTTCACCTAATAATCCATTCTGGTGTTTTGAATTTGCTTTCTAGTAAAGTTATACTCTTAACTAATTATCACCAATAGCCAGCTAATTTATTTTTACAGTCGTGGAAAAAAAATTGTCATTGCTGACTTTCAAATCAATACATTGGAAAAATCATACTCATGTATACTCATCTGCAACAAATGTCAGCAGCTCATCAGTGCAGTGTATTGTGGTAGTTTCTGTGTTTGCCCAAGGAATCATGTAAAAAAGTTTAAGTTACAGCTCAATCCAAAACTGTTTCTTTTTGGGTTTGGATAGACTAGGTCAGTCTTTCTTAACCTTTTTTAACACGGATGAACCCTTGAAATAACTTTCGATTCTAAAGGAACCCCAGCTATTAATTACTATATCTACAGTACAGCTCACAGCATATAAGCGTGATGGTCAGTGGGAAGAATGTCCTACTTTTGTAATCAGTGGGAAAAATTGCCCCTTTACAGATAGCTAAAAAGATTATTCTTTTTAGTGGTTACTTATCGAAAAGACAGACAGAGCCCCTAGAAACCTATGGAGGAACCCTAAGGTTCACAAGAACACTGGTTGATAATGGCTGGGTTTAGGGAATGGTTAAATCCCTCATCAGATTAAATCCCTTCTTAGAACTGTTGTCTCAATGTCCCCATAAAGTGGAAGATTTCCACTTTATTTCAGTTACTATTACAAATGTAATATATTTGTGTGAGGAGCATGTATCGCTCCTGCTCCATCACAGTCGCTGTTGGTATTCCAACATCCTGATTTTGGTTGTGATAAATTCACCCTGTCTGTCTGTCCACTTGCAAGGTGATTGATGTGCCCAGTCCCTGGGTGGAGACCAAACCTGAGTTAAGCCAGCCAAGCCTGCAGTCGCATGCTTGTATTTCTAACACATGCCCGAAGCTCCCTGCTTGTCTGTCCTGCTTGCTAGTTTGGATTCCCTCTTTGACGACCTCGGATTGGATATTGACTACTGTCTGAACTCTGCCTTCCTTATGACTATGGACTTGTTCCTGACTACTCTGAACCTTGCCTGCCTTGTACCTGAACTGTCATTAAAACACTCTGTCTGTCAGCCGACCGCAAGTACCTGTATGCTATGCTCAGTTTGCACTTGCCCTGGCATGGTAGCCAGACACTACAGCATTGTGTATACGTCCTGGGGCAACAGACTTTTTTTTAAGATTTTTTAAAAGATAACTGAATACAGTTTGACCAAGATGTATGATGAAATATTATTTATTTGCAAAATTTTATAAGAAAAACACTTTTTTTTTCAAACTTTTTGGACTTTTTCATTTATATAGCAAAAAAAATAAAAATCCCACTGGTGAATAAATACCACCAAAATAATTCTTTATCTGTCTCAAAAAAATGCTAAAATATTCATATGGGTACAGTGTTGCATGACCGCGCAATTGTCATTGAAAGTGTGATAGCGCTGAAAGCTGAAAATTGGTCTGGACAGGAAGTGGGTGAAAGTGTCTGGACTTGAAGTGGTTAAGTGAAAAAAAAAAAATTTTAATTGTAAAAAATGAAAGTTACACCCAAGTACATAACATCCCTCGCCCAAAAAACAACTAAGGCCCCCCAGCCTCACATATACGCACGTATAGATGTAAAAGTACATGCTGGGGCGCCTACGCATGAAAACGTCAATTGTGATACACATGTTACATATCGCCGCACTTCAGAATGAGAGCAATAATTCTAGCATGAGACCTCCTCTGCACAATATACTGATGACCTATAAGAGGCTTTAAAAGTGTCACCTATAAAAAATTTAGGGTGCTGAAGCTCGTCGCCATTTCACGAGCGCATGCAAATTTAAGCTTTGACAAGTTGGATATCTATTTACTCGGTGCAACCTCGTCTTTTATATTTTACTTTTTGGACACCATGGACATTTCTCAGTTTTAAGGCAGAAAAAAACAGTAAAAATGCAGGCAGGGCACAGGACAAAGCACTCG